GGTTGTAATGAGCGGAGAAGACAACTCCGCTACCCTCCAGGTGTGGAAACGTCAATTGAAACATGCACCATATGTTCAATGTTACGCCCTTGCTCTGGGAGTCCAAGAGAAGTTAGTTTTGAGAGCCAGGTGGCTGCTGGACAGAAAGTTCAAGTGCTGGAGATGCAACGGCATCCAAAAGTTGCAGGCCTCTTCTCCCTTCAGCTGCACAAGCAAAGCCCCATAAGTCTAGAGAGAAGACTTCCAAACGCTGAGAAGCAAAGTGGACGGGATGATATTGCTCTGGTTCTCCATACCTCTGGCACCACGAAAAAGCCCAAAATTGCAACTAGCTTGCAGTTTGTCGGGTGGTGTGGTTGGCCGATTGCTGATTTAGTAGGGTCATAAGTGCAGGCTTTTTTAGCTCTTTTACTGATAGTTTTAGTTTTCCCACTTTCTGCTCAGGTGCCGTTGACTCATGAAAACCTCACAGTCGGCGCACTTTGCATTACATCAACTTTGAGACGGCAAAGAGAAGACGTGTATCCGGGCATGAGATGAGCGTTCAGCTCCAGCTGTGCTGCAAAACCATGCATGCCACTGAAGACACTAGTGCCGTAGCTTAGGTGCTTGAACCTCATGCCTTTGTACCATATCCACGGCCTCTCCGTCAATGTGCTGGCAAGTGCCATGTCTGGGTCATCTGTCGTTTGCACCCCGGGCTACAAAGGCCCAGATCAACCTACGCAGTGGTTGGCGTCTGGCGCAGCCAGCTGGTATTCGGCAGTGCCCACCATGCACCAAGGGATCGTGGAGGCTTTCCTCTCTTTGTGTGTTGGGCCATTTAGTTTAGTTTTTTTGTTTTTCGTGGCTTCCGTGGCTCATGGTGGATGCTGAGGGCCACTTCAACCTCACCCAGCTTTCAACATAGCTTCTGTCCGCACTGTTCTATCCATTTGTATCCATTTGTCTATATATTATATCTTTGTCTACCTACTGTGAATTTTTGTCCATGTCAGTCAAGAGCTTCCGCATCCGCACTCACCATCCGCAGCCATTCAAGCAACTCAGGGCAGTTCCAGGCAGAGGGTGGGAGTGGCTTTCGAACTTGAGCCATAGCTCGGCGCAGGGCGCCCTTCGCGACGACAGTCAACCGGTGGAGTGGAGAAGAAACAGCACTTGAGCGTGGCCGCTCAGAGAGGGACAGAGAGACTGTTGGTTGAGCTCTCCAGGACCAAAATCGCGAAGGCCAGTGACCGCAGGTCCGACCCGATTAGAGCTGGAGGGCATGCGGGGAGGTGATGTCAACAGCTGGTGGTGGTGGAGGAGGAACAGGACGTATGAACAATCTGTCCAACCTGGTGCCATCATTCGACCCAAGCAAAAGATGATTTACAGACCTTTCAACAACGCCTGGAACTCCTGGCTAGTGTTTGGCCGATGGAGAAGTTCAACGAACTGATTACAAGAGATCCTGAATGCTCAGGGCAGCGCATTCCAGAAGCTGCAACTACATGCTTCAGAGTTGGCTACAGGTGATGACAAAGGACTCAAACAGATCATAAAGTTGCTGGGCGGACGCTGGTGAAAGACTGGATTGGAGCGGAGGTATTTTGATGCAGAGCAGGCTTTACTCCACTGCACACAGATGGCTGACGAGACCTCAGGCTCGTACATTGCCAGAGCCGATGTCCTGTGGACAAAGCTGCGAGCACGACAGGTGAAGCTGGAAGACCTTCAAGCATTCATAGTGCTGCGTGGCTCCAACCTAACTCCCGACGAGAAGAAGAGAGTGATCATGGACGCAGACAAAAGTCTGGATGGATCCCTCACGGTAACCTAGGTGTCCGAATCCATTCGCCTTCTGGGAGCACAGTTCATCTCACAAAACACAGGCAACAAGAAGGGGAACGAGCAAGGTATATGATGGATCGACCCTTTTGGATGAAAGCATGCTCAATGAGGGAGATCCTTCCATGTCCACGAAGAAAATGAAGAGGGGTTCATTGACCAGCTGAGCGATGCCGGGCATCCTGATGCCGTCCTGGTGGCCGACTTCGAGGCAGCAGCACAGGAAGACAGGAAGTGCTTCAGCAGGATCAGGAATTGGCCTCAGCATACAATTCATACACCGACGCTCGACGTCGACTGAATGAAAGTTTCGCAACAGGGGCTTCTGGCCTGTACATCAAGCTGCTGGCAAGGGAGGCACGAGCAAGAGTTTTGGCTCTGGCCCCGACGGAGGCTCCAAGAAGACCTACAAGATCGGATCTTCAATTCCACATGTCCCGCGCGTGGGCGACGGGGGCATTGGCGGGCAGAGTGTCCGCACCGATCATCAACGTCAGGACCTTCCTCCGGAGCAACAGCGCCCACCACAGCAACCACCATGACTGCAGTAGCGGATGAAACGGAAGGTTTTCATTGGAGTTCCTGCAGCTTCCAGTCGATCCGGAGTGGGTCATGTGGACATGCCAACACTTCAAGAACAGCAAGAAGCATGCTCACATCCTCTTCCTCCGCTGCATCGAACTGAAGACCATGGAAGCCGAGGAAGCCATGACCTTTCATCCCGGCATGAGCCAAGGCGCATCTCTGACAGCGCCCACGGCGAATACCGGAGCTCAGCTACCAGTGATGCCACGATCCAAGCTGCTCCCAAGTCCAAAGCGCACCAAAGGCTCGATCGCAGGCCCATGCCATGATGGCTGGAGATCCATCTGCGGACGGCCCAATGTTCCTTGATGCGAACAAACAGGAGCCCCCAGGTTCGGAAGACGACTGGTCGGTGGTGTCTCTCCAGCAGAGGATGGTCCATATGGAATCAGCACTGAGCGAAGTGATCACGCACTTGCAACTTGCAGCAGCAGAACCAGACAAACGAAGCTCAAGCCGACCTTCAGGAGCAGTGATGCCAGAGCCGCCAGAGATCGTGCTACATGTGCAACAGGAAAACATGAGACATCAACTGAAACGACCAGTGAAGTCACTCGAAGTGTTTTGCCATCACCGTTCACAGTTGACAGCGCAGGTGGCGAACTTATGGTACTCTGCCAAACGGTTTAGTCGTGCACATGGTGACCTGATGACACAAGAAGGCCTGATTTTGTTTCGCCTGCTGAACTTGCATGAGCCAGAACATGCGTGGTTTAGTCCTCAATGTGGTCTCAGTTCGACGTGCGCCGGGCAGGTGGTCTTTAGTGCGAAACCCATCCGGAAGTGCATGAGTGTCATCACAACCTCAAAGAGTCTTTTCCACACAACCTACATGGCCTGAAATGTAATCAAAATCATGAACATCAAATCCTCGGAGGACATACTGTTGCCCAGGGCCAAACCGTGAATCAAACGGCCTATTCCGAGAACTACACTTGCAAGTTCGCCCGTCGAGTTGCCAAGGTCGTGTGTAGGACAGTTTTTTTCAAAGGAAATGCCATTTCGCACATGGCATGAAGATCAAGCGCTAGTGGTACTTAAGATCACAGCGCCCTGAACCCGATAGAAAGGGCATCACGAAGTCACCAGATCCAGCACAAGCACAGATGATGACCAAAATCATTGGTCATGCAAAGAAGCGTATCCGTGTCGCCAGAGTTCCGCCAATGCCCGCACCTGACATTGTAGCCAAAAGAACTCGGCCGCCAAATCTTGAGGAGTGCCCTTCGGACATCAAGCGCCGGAAACTCATAGGGAAACAAGCTGAGACCCCTCTCAATGGTCAATACCCGGTCATCACGTCCTCAAGCGCATGGAAAATATGCTACGAAGAGTGGGCAGAAAGGAAATCACTGATTCCAATGTATTGAAGGATTTACAAACGATGTTTCCTGAAAATGAAATCATTCGATAGGATGCCGAGGAACTGATCGCATGCAAACCGCGTTGAAACCATTATTTAAGGGCTTACGCCCGACAGCCGACGTCGTGGTAGTGTTCTTGTTGTTGTTGTTGTGGTTGTGGTTGTTGTTGTTGTTGTTGTCGTTGTTGATGATGTTGTGGTTGTTGTTGTAGTGTGGTTGCTGTTGTTGTTGTTGTTGTTGTTGTGGTTGTGGTGGTGGTGGTGGTGGTGGTTGTGGATGTGGACGTGGGTGTTGTGGGGGTGGTGGTGGGGATGGTTGTTGTTGTTGTTGTTGGCCCAGCAGCCGCCCACGATGCAGACGAAGCACCCCGGTGTGGCATGCATTTCCAGCATTATTTGGCCTATGTTGGGCCTATGTTGAGCCATGTTGACCCATCTTGAGCCCCAAGAGCGGAAAAATGGAAGAAGCAGCAAACACTGTAAAACACACAATTCCTGTGGGGTCGAGCAGGGGTCGGCGGCTGGGGCGGGACTCACCTCTCTCCTTCGCAAAGGAGAGACTGCCTACGGCAATGACACGGCCAGCGGGCCCCTGGCCGGAATTTAGGTCAGAGGACATGCCTGTTCGAAGAAGCCTCATCCTACTTCGATCCACCGGAGAAGCACAGGTAGAAGCCGAGTGGGAGGAATGGTCCAAATTGCCCATAGCAGACAAATTCGTTCAGGTCATCCATGTCGAATCAATGTCGCTGTGTTTGGTCGTCCCTGGGTCACCCCTACACCAACTCAAGCCGAAGCGAGTGAACAGATTTTGACTGAGTCTCGGACAGACTCAGACACATTCGAGAGCGAGGCAGGGCCTTCGTCCAGACCATTCGACAAGACCATGGTCCCAGAAGAGTCAACCAAACAAGATGTCATTTCCCGAAAATCCAAGACTGAAGTAGAAATTGAAGAAGAGATATATCAACATCGTCGGTTTGGTGGGGACAGCTCTCAGAACCAGAGAAACAGTTGTGGTGGGAAGCTCACCAAAATCTGGGTCATCCCTCGGCCGAAAGATTGAGCCAAGCCCCTCAGTTTCAGGGTCACTGTCACGCAGTCGTGAAAGCCACTAAACATGTCAGCAACGCAAGAAGCCAAAAAGGGCCAGACCAGGTACCCTACAGGGGTTGACAGAGTTCAATCAGCGGGTGTACCTAGATGGAATTCGATGGGCCAATAGTCAAGGACAATCCTTCCATTTCTACCATCTCATTGATGCCGGATCCAACTAGCATGTAGCACTGGTAACCCAATATGGTTATGCGCCCGAGGTAATTGTTTTGGCCGACACTCCAGAGTACCAGGATCAATCCTGAGTGACGATAGTGTTCCTAGTCATTTGTCAGCAGACTCCGAAGACAACTCACTAGAGACCCAAGAGTTTCGCAAGTTGTTGAGCCTGCGAGAGAGAGCCCGTCGTGCAGTCGTGCTGACAATGATGCAGGAATTGCCAGAGCGCTGCTGAGAAGGGGCTCACCAGATCGCATCCAATGCCAACAAGGTCAGCGGGTCACGCAATACCGATCAAATGCTTGTGGTGGTACCTGGCGTGGACCGATGAGTCCGATGAGAATTGTTGCACAAGAAAAACATCATACAGTTTGGCTGTCACATCTACGTAAGATACACCGCGCCGCTCCAGAAAACAATCGACCAGCAAGAAAGACCGAAATAGAAGAAATAGGAGAACCAGGAGAGAGTATATACAATGACGGAAGTATCACAAAGTCAACGCGTTCGCAATCAAACTCCACTCGAAGATCAAATCGCAGAAGATCCAGAAGGAATTGCAGGAAATGACTTGGAGAACCCCAGCACGGAACAACGGACTCCTGAGTCAATAATGAGTGGAGGTCAGCCTGACCAAGAACCTGAGATATCATCCAGCCACTCGTATAACCATGAACAACAGAGTGCTAATGAACAAGAACCAAATGAAGGGGAACTGGGGACAGAAGAAACCATTTCCGTAGAAGATCCTGAACCAACCATGTTCATCGAAAGCCAAGAAGAAGATGTTCTGTTGACCAGGTCCTCGAATGCCGCCTGGAAGGCTGAGTTCGGCTTTGCGTTACCGCGGCCTTTGAACGACCACTGGCCCACTGAGCGGGACATGGGCCACGCTGGCAATGTCCAGCAAAAAGCAGCGCGCTGAAGTTCGAAGCAGCAGCGAAGGCCTCGGAGGTAGACAACTGGGTAAAAACAGGACCAATATTTAAGATTTTCAGGAATCAGTTGCCCCCCGAAAATATTCTCAAATGTCGATGGATTCTAACCTGCAAACCCATTGACCCCGAAGGTTCCGAGAATCCAAACGCACAGAAGGCCGTCAAGGCCAAAGCAAGACTTGTGGCTATCTTGATCCTCAATTGGAGAACGTAGCCCGAGACTCCTCCACCTTGTCAAGACCGGGAAGAACCTTAGCACTACAAGTCATAGCCAGCCAAGGATGGCTATTACAATCCTTCGATGTAAAGGCAGCATTCTTACAGACACGCTCAAAAGGACAGGATCCTTGCAGTCGAGCCAGTGCCAGAGCTGGTAAGAGCCCTATCCATGCATCCTGATATAGTTTGCAAACTTGAAAAGAGAGGGCATATGGTCTCATCGACGCCCCTTTGCAGTGGCACAGTGTTCTACACCAAGAGTTGAATGGTGAACTTACAATTTGAACCATCACCCTTCGACCCTGGTCTCTATGCGTTAAGAAATCCAAAAAAACCCAAACGAGGGCGAACGATGGAATTTGTGGTGGAAATCAATACTTCACGAAACAACTCGCAGCACTATAGAGTCCAAATATGCATTCGGTTCAAAGAAGAGCGGTTCCTTTACCTTTCTTCGTGCATTCCAGCACGTTGGCGAACCGCAATTGGAGATGCAGGTCAGCGATATGAGGGAACGGGTGTTTTCATCACCAAATATGGGCAGAAGTACCACGTCTTCCGCGCCTGCCCAACGCTGACATCCTCGGTGCTCCGGAGCTCACCTCCCTGCGATCGATGTGGCTTCACCATCGACATGGCTGCTGTCAGGAGGGGTGAGCCACTGTGGTCTCGTGGTTGGGGCGAGATCTACCCGGATGCGGCAAGCCACCTGGCTGTGCCACAGGATCCGAGAAAAAGTATGGCCCCTGTGTCCGCTGCCTTCAAGAGCTCCGTAAACGGGGGCTCAACATGTGATGAAAGGATGAAGAAAAAAGGCGGTCACCACCTCACTCTTGGATGACCTTCCTAAGGCCATTTTGGCCGTTGTGGTGGGAAGAATGCCTGATGGCATTACGGTTTTGATGAGGTCAAAGACCATGAAAGATGATGAAAAGATTTGATAAAGGAAGAAAAGGGGTTCCTGGCCCGCGGTTGCATGACACAGCCGAGCTGTCCTCAACCAATGCATGGTACTCGTGTGGTGGGAGGCCGTGCGTCGGAATGTCTTCGAAAGAAGCCTGGGGGAGTGTTGATGCATGGCCCCTGCGCTAAGATGACATGTTTTTCTCTTGAAGTTGAGCGGTGTTTCACGCAGCCCCTTTTACAAGCCGAAGGATCACATGATCCTGAAGGGCCCACGAAGGCCTAACCAGAGCACTTGGCAAGCGAAGAAAAACAGATGTCTCTTTTGTCCTTTTGGTGTTGAAGCGTTTTTTAACTGTTGGGGTGAGGATCATGCCGCAGGATCAACAAAAACAACTGATTGAAATGTCATGGGGGGCTCACTCGAAGTAGAATATTTTCGTGCTTTGCTTTGCTAATCATACGCCGGTCTTGCGTAACAAGTAGGAATGAACATCCTGAAGGGGCACAACGCTGAAGACAATGGGACCAAAGGATAGCTAAGAACACAAAACCTGCGTTGTGGCCCGCGCGATGCGACGGCAAAGCCGAGAAAACCGAGAAAACTAGAAAACCGAGAAAACCGTTCTCGCGTTTTGCCGTGTGGAAGTTTTTCCAGTTTTCTTACGTCTTCTTGCTTGTCTTGTCTTTGAGCGTGAGAACGAGAAAAGCAAGAAAACGGGTTTCGCCGTTTTCCCGTTTTCGCCGCTTTCGTCGTTTTCGCCGTTTTCCCGTTTTCGCTTTTTTCGCCACTTTCGTCGTTTTCGCCGTTTTCGCGTTTTCGCGGTTTTCGCCGTTTGCACGTTTTTGTCGTTTTCGCCGTTTTCGTGGTTTTCGCGCAGTCGTCGTTTTCGTGGTCTTCGCCACTTTCGAAGGTTTTCAACTCAAAAGAGGCCCAACAACAGGATGTGGCAGGAGGCGCCTATATAGTGTCCAACCTTGGATGTCTCTTATATATATATATGTAGCTACCCCCCCCGAAGATCTACCCTGTTTGCCTGTTGCATGCCTGTTTGAGTGATATTTTCAGATATCAAATGAACCTTTTGGACAATTTCACTGATTTCAGAGAACAAACTGAGCACAATTTTGACCATATTGTGGTCTTTGACTGGGTGTTAGTTAAATCATTGATGGGTTCTAACTGTTTTGTATCACCGGCGCCTATGATGATTTTATTGTCCTTGTGCTTTTCAGTAAAGTCTAAAAATTAAAAGATTGGTCATATAGATTTCATCAAAGAAAATGACATGAAAATTGCTATGATCAAACTCTGGTAGTTCATCCTGCTTATGAACTGGAATTCTTAAAAATGTTATGGGTTGTTGCGTCACCTTCTATTTTTCGACTTAACCAGGTATAAGGCTCTACAAACAAAATTTGTTTATGCACCTTTAAAAAATACTGACCTGTGTAACTCGATCCAGAAAGTTTTGATCTGATCATGCAGGGGTTTTGTTTTTCAACTTGCTTACATATTCCGGGGTTGTCGGGTTCATCACACCACCTCTGTTGGTTCATTTTCTAGTTTTGGAATTTCAATTAAGTCATTATATCAAAATATGTACTTATTGGTTGGAAATTGGTTGATTTGTTTGTCAGTCTCCACTTGCCTATGCCTTCTTCAAAGTTCAATATTCCAGTCTGATATGATTTTATAAAATGATTTGGTTCACCCATCACTCTAGTCAAACCGTCTGCATGGATCCTGAAGGCATCACTCTCCACTGAATAGACCTTAATATCATTTTCTGAAAAAATGATTACGCTGCATTCATTGAAAAGTTATGATATTGAAGAAGCAGCTCTTTTATATCTCTAGGCCCATTGAAAAATTCATGTCGATTGGTTGTGTTTAAGATGCAATAGGTACTGTGTGTTTGTGTCTTCTTCTTTTTTCTATTTCTTGTTGTATGGCGCAAACCCTTCCTCCAAACTCCCTCTGGTAATGGCAAGCCTCCCTCAAAGTGTGAATCTGTAACTTCTGTGCGGTGTTGTGATGTTTCCTATTTTCTTTTTGTCATCTTTAGTAAGGTCGGTTTCCCATAGTTCATTAACAATCTGGTCATAATTGACCTAATGAATGAATGAATGAATGAGTGAACGAATGAATGAATGAATGAAGGAGTTTTGTAACAAAATATTTTTCGTTGTTTGCTTCCAATAGTTTTCTTAAACACTTTCCATATATTAAGTTATACTTCTTATTGAACACTTCCACCGTATACAATGTAAACTAGATATTTTGCTAATGTCAATGTCATCCCTGTAATGTTCCAACTATCAAACTCATAAAAACCGGTATGAATTTAGTCTGTGTATGTAAAGGCTTCAGTCCTGTCAATCTCTATCAGTTTTGTTGTATCAGTGTTTTACTCAAAAAAATAAACTGATGGGACTATAGTCCTACAATGTGTTTATCAAAATAACCTGATGGGACTATAGTCGTGTCATACTTTGATATACTTGTGTCATGTCTTATTGCACGATGACCCTTGAGATGCTGACTGCATGTTGGTTTCAGGAAAGTACGCGTACAAACGCTTTGTACGCGTACATTGCTCAAAACAACAAAACAAAAAAACAAGATTGAGCACAACTCTTGTCAGGAATCTTGGCTTGATGCAGCCAATGCACATTACACAAGTTGGATGACCTGGGTCTCATAAAAGGACACACCCCAAGCCAAGATTCATTTGTAAGCGTACTGTACGCACAATGGTCCAACCAAGAAACCAAGAACCAAGATTGCGCACAGCTCTTGTCAGGGATCTTGGTTTGACAGTCAATGGGTCTCAAAGGACACACCCCAAACCAAGATTCATTTTCATAGGTCTGTGCAATCTTGGTTCTTGGTTTCTTGGTTTGACCATTGTATGCGTACAGTACGCGTACTCCCCTGCAATCAATGATGTGCAGTGAGCATCACAACAGTTAGCGTACGGTAAACATTGACCATTGTACGCGTACAGTACGCGTAATTCCCTGCAACCAATTATGTGCAGTGAGCATCTCAACAGTTAGCGTACAATAAGACATGTATATATATGTTTACATGGTACTCCCCTTTCAATAAATTGATGGATGAGCATCCACAACCGTGAAACAAATAAAAATGGTAGATCTTTGGCGTATCATGTATATATATATACCCTATAAGTCCAAGCACTAGTTTTATAATAGTGGTTGTGACAACCACCATTCCCGAATCATCAACATCAAGACAACAACCTCCAATCCCAGATCAATCTCGGGCATGCTTTTCTGACTCCACTCCAACAGGCTCTTACTTTCGTTTTCGCGTTTTTTGCCGTTTTCGCGGTTTTCGCGTGGCCTGCCCCTGCATCACCGACACACGTTTCGTATGCACAGCAGTTAGCGGGCCCCATCAAAGCAAACAAGGTTGGTTGATGCGAAGCAACTTGCAGACTAAATTCAAGTACGTTCAACCGGTGTACCCGTACTCGTTGAAACTCGTTGGGGCAATACTTCGGGTGGATGCTTAAGGGGCAAAAAATTCACCACCTCCCAAAAAGGGTATTTTGTTGAGAAATGTTTCGCGAGGGCGAGAACGCTGAGAAACATGACTTTGCAGGCGGGGTTTTCATTGGATGAGTTCAGCGCAACGGGTGCTGGCATTGGTTTGGTCCGCAACTGCTCAGCAGCCTTGGTGCCAGTTCTGGCGGACAAGATGGAGCAACTCTTCGAGTGCGTTGTCATGCCAACCTATGCGATGTCAGAGAGTCGCTTTGCTCACATCGTATTGGTTTTCTTATGTTTCAGTGTATCCTCAAGTGGCACGCAGTTGCTCAGTCGAGCTCACCCAAGGCATGCCCATCGCCTCGAACCCGCTGCCACCACATTTGCGTGTTTTGCGCAGTGTTGGACAAGCAGCAGGTCCCCAAATGGTTCTCAGGCACGACAACAACTCAGAGCCCAAAAAAGGCGAGGCAGAGCGGCAAACCCATTTCCACCGCGTTTCCATGTTTCGCATTTTTCGGACCCTCTCCATGTGACATGGACCCTGAGGCGAGGAAGCAGAGATTTGTGTGAAGGGCGCTTGTGTGACCAAAGGGTATGAAACTCGGCTGAAGCACAAGAAAGTTAAACAAAGTGCAGAACCAGCCTTTAAGAGATTCAGGCTGGCCAAGCCACAATGTTGCATCGGCAGTTGCAGTAGGTGATAGGATGATATCAGGATGACGTGGCGGCTCAGGAGATGCGTGCCCATATGGACCAGGACCCAAATATTGAAGCTTTCACATCAGATGGTTGGCTGCGAACTGGAGACAAAGGCAACTTTCTTCCAAGTTGTCTTGTGTTTTTGGATGTGTTTTGGGACGAGCGGAACATGGATGTCACACCAGTCAGGCTACATTGATGATCACAACTACCTTTGCCTGTCGGGCCGCTACAAAGAGATCATAAATCGCGGAGGCGAAAAAATTTCGCCTTTTGAGGCTGCTCGGTCTGAAAGAAGGCTGGGGGAATATTTTGAGTTTGTTTCAGAGCCCAACTCCTGCCCAACTCCTTGGCATGGCACTGCGGCCCTGTTTGGGGCACGCGCTGTTGCACTTCAATTCGATCTATCATGGTGGATATGTGGCGCTTGACATTTTGGTAAAAGCTTTTGTTTGTTTATCATGCTGAAGTGGAATGCCGCTCTGATGCGGAGCGGCCGGGGGAAAAGACACTTTCCAGGTGCAAGTTCTGTATGATTGTTCTCTGTAAGCAGGCTCCGGCCTGGCACAGTGATTCTTCTTATTGTTGTTGTCTTGGAGTAATGAGGTCGAGAACGTGTGCCGTCAGTGGCCGCCCATCTTCGATTGCATCGCCTTCAGCTGTCCTCATGCACAACTGGGAGAAACAGTGGGCTTAGCAGCAGTGCTTCGGGATGGCGACGCTTGTGCGCATTTGACGGCTGGGGCAGGGCAGAGCCAGCCGGCATTGAGCGCTGCAAGCATCAGCTTCCGTCTAAAGTCTAAATGCGCCTTTAGCCTCCTCTAGAATTTGGGACCATGACTTGTGGGAGCTGCAACGTTTTGACATCAATAAGCCGCCAATGAGGAGCCCCCAAGGATTGATGGCAGATCCGACGGCCACTGCGCGAGGTGAGAATCAGAACCAACGGGACACGCCCCAAAAAAAAAGAGTGGGGCATGCCTGCTGCTGAGCCAGAAAAAGTGCAAATAATCAAAGACTACCTACGGAAGAAATGCGCGTGTGCAGCGGAAACATGACGGCAGAGATACACGCGCGCGGACGAAACGTGACGGAAGAGGTACGCGCGCGTAACCGAACAATTCTGAAAAGGATACATGTGTGAGGCAGGCCATGGCCGCGAAGAGGGAGGCGGCGCATCAAAAACATCCAAAAACAGCGAAAATAGGCCATAACCAATGTAATTATTATCTCCACAAAATGAATGGTTGGTTGGGTAGGGACATTTTGGGATTTGAAACATGTAGGGGTAACTCCTGATCTTGATGCCATTTTGGCTCAAGATCGGGAGGGATTGTCTTTTTTTCCCCTTGGCCATGCCCTACCTTCGGCGCACCACCCTCTCGGTTTGGGAACCGGGAGCGCGCCGGTGGCGGCGTGGGCATTGGGGGAGCAACCCCTCCGACCTGTCCGTGGAGGATAGGCGCGCTGACCTCGGACTCGGAGCCAGGTCAGCCTACGTCGCATCGATCTGGGCATCGATCGATCGTCAGCCTGACGTGGAGGCTGACCACTGCCAGCGCTGCGGTGAATTCACAGGCGCTGGTGCGAGGGCTGCTACAGGCGCTGTGAACCAGACAGACGCGACGATCCCTACGGGGCTATTTGCAGTGCGTGCGATCATTTAGGCCTGGTCTGTGCATGACCAGTGCGCCATCGACGTATTTCGTGGGCTGATGGACACAGCGCCTACCAGGAGCAGGGCGGCCAGGATGACCCCAGCCAGATCGAGGTCACCGGATGGGGGAGTCAGGCCGGGCCGACTCACTTCCAATCCGCCGGCGGTGGCGACGCGATCCCCATTGAGGAGGTCGCGGCGATCCTCGGACTATCCATCGAGCTCAGCCTCCCACTCGTCAGAGTAGTGCTGCCACATGCAGGACCTGTTCCACCCCCAGGCCCGCCTCCGGATCGTCGCCGGCCGAGGTCGCCCTCCCGATCGCCTGCCGGGGCGCGGCGTCAGGTGATGACCATTCGGCAACCAGACCAGGCCATGGAGGCAGAGCTTGGAACTGGTCCCACTCAGAGGCTCTGGTGTCCTTGTTTTGCCACAATGGCGTGCAAACATGCCAGGACGTCATGGGCATCTGGGAGCATGGCGGCGCTTTGGTGGCTGAGTTGGAGGCAAGTCAGGGTGCCCTGGGCTCGGAGGAGGCCTTTCAAATCAGCGCCCTGTGGACTTTGGCCTATCGTCGCGCCAACGATCACCACCGACGGTCTTGCAGGCTGTGGTTGGCAACCGGCGATCGGCACTCGGTGATCGCCCCGCAGCCTGAGGGGGGTCCCAAAGGCCGGGTGCGGCAGCTCATTGACAGGGATCCCAGGGCGGCCACCGATGCTGCATTCTGCTGCGGCATCAGACCCACATACCAAAGAGGTTGCAAAGAAGGCCACCAAGACCCAAGCTGTTTTTGATGTGTTATTGACAAATTTCTTGAACCTGCACCTGGGCATCAACAATAGTAGATTCACCAGCTCCCATGGTTGTAGTTCTGTCCTCTGTTGTACCTGATGATCACGGGGCAACAGCCGAAATGGCTGGGTCAACCAGTGATCCGTATTGAAGGGGAGGCCAAAATTCAGGCGAAACCACTTAAGGGCCTGATACATAGATGAAGCTGCCGTAAGGCCACCCTGGGCCACCATACGCAAGAATTCACCCAGTTGGAGAGGCGTAGGTGCATTGGCCGTGTACTGCTTGTCAGCGGCGTAGCGTAGCCACCTTCTCAAAGCTGCCAGCAATGCACCGATACGCCGCTCTGTAAGCCTCCCTGTGGTCTGCATCACCTGGTCCTTTTTCTGGTGTGGGCCGCTGTATCTTGTGTGCGTTTTGAACATTTTCAAAGGTCACACTACATGGAGGCGCCCCCCCAGTGTCTGCTTTTCGAATGCTCACAAGGCAAAGCTAGACGCAGAGGAGCGCGTCCGCCCTACGTCTGGGCCATGCCTGAGCTTGAGTTTCAAGGCCTCAGTTTACACCGCATCGTGGGGGATTTCTTGACTGTTGAACTGGACCCAGCACGGAATTTCCTGTGGCCGCCTTTGCAGCTGAGCGCTGATGACCTTTGGGAGGTCACTGAGAGTACAGCGTGGGCTCATTGACCGCAAGATGTCCAGAGGCGGGTACCTCGAGCTGCTACGTGGAGCCCTCCTCACTATGAATGTCGACCATGCCCAAGCGCGCGGTGCCGGGTACAACCGGCTGCGTCGGTTCCTGCCCACCATGGGGTTGGTTTGTGGCTTGCAGCCCTCCAACCAACAGGCAGTTGCCAACTGGCAAGAAATCCCAGGAGCCGGAGGGCCTCAACCTTTGCGGAAGAGCAAGGCTACATGGTCTATGGGCGTGCATTACGCCTGTCAACGGGTGATTCATTCCGCAGCATTCAAACATGCCCTGGTCCAGCTCAATGCCCAGGGTCTCGTGGCCCGTGACGCCTGGACCTGGCCGGAGCTCGCACAGATGAATGAGAGCTTTGGCCCGTTGGAGGCGCCTTGGCATCAGTTTTTGGTACCCCCAGGGTCTGGGACCCCTTGGAGGGTGTGCTACTCGAATTGGATAGGATGGGGAGCTGGCCCTGCATCCCCAATTAGGTGGGTTCCAGTACCTTCCCCCTCTCTGTTGTGTGCGTCTGCAGCATCGTGTGGGGCTCAGCTTAGACCGTGGTGTAAGACACCCTGAGGGTGCCCACCACACGCCAAGCCCAACATGAGTGGCTCTCGCCGCATTGACCTGTATCAAGATGATCGCGGTCTCTCCACATGTTTTGCGGGAGCCAATATTTTGGAAGAATGGAAAAGTGAACTGGTGACTACTCACAAACGGGAGACCCTGGAGGACTTCATCTACTACTTTGATGAGGCTGCCATGGAGAAGTCATTGGACCATGTCCTCCAAGCTACCAAGGTTCGTGAGAATCGCTTGGTGCGGCTCGTCTCAAGGCGGCTCATGCAGCCGGGTTGGAGGCCATCCGTGCAGCTGCGACTGATGCCAAGCAGCCTGACGCGCCGGACGAAGTCCTGCCAGAGTCTACCATGCAGCAGCTCCACAAGGACTTTGCCAGCAAGTATGGCATTGTGTTGGATGCGTTCTTGGAGCCATCTGACGCACTCCGTTCCCGCATTTACCGGGAACTCCGCAAGAGGACAATGTCAGTTATCAGTGTGGCCAAAGTCCGCTCTATCCTTCACCAATCGGCACCCAAGCAACAGGAATCAGTCCGCCTGGGTGCGGGCGTCCAGCTTGAGTTTGCTGCAGACGAACATCGAGTTGTCCGTACCGTGGTGGAGTACGACTTTTCCTTGCGTACTCTGGCTTACGCCTGGGCGTGGGGAGGTTTGTATAAGGTGGCTGATTTCGATGGCAACGAGCGAGTCTTCATGCCCCTGGCTCCGGCTATGTCGTACGCGGATCAAGCCCTACAATTTACAATGGAGTTCGGACAGGGCAGCCTTATTTGGTTGGAACGGAACGACATCAACACTCGCTCCAAGATGGCATCCCTCATTCGCCGCGGCTATACAGGGGCGATCTGCCTTGGGGGAGGCCCTACACCAAACCCACATCGATTGGCGCGCCCCGGGGATCCAGCCTACCTTGCCTGAGGCAGGTATGTCACCCAAGAGGCGGCTCACCGAAAGTGAACAGCCAATGGACAAGGGCCCCGCCAAGGAGCGACGCATGATCAAGACGGACAAGTGGCCCACGATCTCCATGTTGAAGGGAGGCCAGAAGATTTGCAAACCATTCAATGACGGCCGGGGATGCACCAAACCAGGCTGCAAGGACCTCCACCAGTGTGATGTCAAGTTGTCCTCCGGGAAGGCCTGCTTGGCGGCCCACACGAGGTTGCAGCATGAATAGGGACAACACCCCCCGAGGGTCGGGGCACCCCGGGGGGACCCAGGTGGCTATGCGATGGGCTCTGGACATGTACATGATCCTGCATAGCCCCGCGTCCTCCTGGGCCCAGATCGCCAGGTCGGCAGCCAAGAGTTGATGGATCGTTTGTACGCGGCCAAGCCTGGGCCAGACCTTTCAAAGGTACGTGGCTGGTTTTGGACCTTTGGTCAGGCATTGGGGGTCTGTTGATTGCATTGCTTTCCATGGGTGTCCATTTTTATGCAGTTGCCGCTGAGATGGATGAGGAAGCAACCCATTGCACGACCACAGTCATGCCCCAGGTGGTGAGCGTGTCCAAAGTCGAGGAGCTCCGAGCTGTGGACTTTGTTCCCATGCTACGGAGGCGCCACTTTCGGGGTGTGTTGATGGGGGGCGGATCTCCATGCCAAGGAAACAGCGCCCTGAACAGACATCGTCGGGGCCTCCATGATGAACGATCACAACAGCCCCGGGAGTTACAACGGTTGGTGGCCGAGTTTGAGGCCCTCCCGGAGTGTCATGCTATGGAGGTGGTCGTATTCTTGGAAAACGTGGCTAGCATGCCCAAGCAGGCGCAGGCTGCTTACGCGGAGTGGCTTGGGGGCCCTCTGGTGCTTCTCGATGCGAGCTCCTGTGGATGGGTAGCGCGACGAAGGTTTTTCTGGCTTCGGTCACGGCGTGGTGCGCTTGGGCCAGTGCACCCGCCACCGATTCGTGGACATGGCGCCTATCGCCAGCTGGTGTGGCTGAACTTCGTTACGCAGGTAAAAAGCCACTACCACCACAAGTGTTTTGGGACGA